GTATATTCGAGTTATCGTTCATTTTCCCAGCTATTCTCATGTGACCAAGTTTTGGAGGCCATAAATTCTTGTTCTATGACCATGCAGGGACATATTCGATCTTTCTCTGTTTCCTTCTATATCCAGGTCGACCTTTGATCGTGGGTTTCCAAGCATTTCGATACTTCCAGTCACTTACTCAGTTTTCTGTCTGAAAGATTCAAAGGATCTGTCATTAGCGGAACTTCTCTAATGTTGCGATTTTTCAAATCGTCCTTGTCCTTAACTTCCGGTCGTCGTGCACGAGGGCGTTTACACGCGTTAGAAACGCTAGTGTTAATTTATTAAACTCTAATGATGCAGACATGGTGCGGTGTTCTTGAAGCGCAGCTGTTTGTCGAATAGCTTCTTTCAAACAATTTCCAAGTTAGCACATGAACTGAGTCGAACTGTGCTATAAAAACAAACACGTCCGTTACCGATGGCACTGCTAGCGTTTGAATCACAGTTGCGAGTTCACGTGCGGGCGTGCATCCTCCGACCCGACTCTGTGATGCTACGTTGCATCCATACACTGCCTATGCTCAAATCCCAAAAAACCATTACCTGCTTAAATGGTCCCCCTATACGTCCAGAAAAAAAGAGGTGACGTGGCGTTGCGTATAGTCTGATGTAGTGACACACGACGTAGTTTTCTACGCTGGTATTGGTGTAAAACTTATTTTAAACAACGACCACAGGTGCTTTGACGGTCTGATTAGAGAGATGAAGGCATCATGAATACCTCGAACATCGTTTTCACGTGACTTTTCTAGGTTTTAGCTAGGCTGGTGGCCTCGTTGATGTAGTTCCGCCATTTCTCGATGTCGTACGTTGGACTTCGTCTGGATCTCACTTCCATCCAGCCCGTGCATCTACATTCGTTGTTCAGAGAATAGGCAGCATAATGGAAAGAATCCACTATGCTTTCTGAAGTGATTAATAAAAGCTTTGGCGCCAAACCTTTCGTCAAACGACGTACGTATCATTAGTATTTTGTGATTTCTTTGGAATAGCGGATTTCATAGATCAAATCCCCATGCCTGGTTTCACCAGATGTTGTATCTAGTGCAACTGAGCATACTTATGGTCTGACTATGAGTAGAGTAGCGCAGTCTGACCAGGTAAATTTCGCCACCTTTCTAAGCGGTCAGTTGAATGCACAATGTCCCAGTATGACAAACGGAGCTTCTCTTGGCGTGTATGTTGTTTGCCATCGTCATTAGGGGTACGGTAAGTTTAACAAGTTCTATTTGCGGCACACAGATAATTTAACCATAGTGGATTAGACAGTTAGCTTCAGTAACTGGTGAAATTTCATCGTAATCAAATATGTGACAAATGCTGTAAGTACCATAGCCAGGGAACATTAAAACCGGGGCTTTAGAGTACTACCACTGCTACAATTTGAATATGCGTTGAATCGTAGCCAAGCGGATCAGGCGACTTAGATCTGTCGCTATATTCACTCCTGTGGTCTAAGACGAAACGGACAAATATTACAACAGTTAAATAATGCAAAGCAAAATCTTGGAATCTTGGAAAGTAATGCAAAGCAAACAAATGTCACATAGGAACGACAAGCTAGAAGACTGAACGTTAACGACTATCGGGATCAGTCAGCGTCGCACAGTGCCTTCTAATCAGCCTAAATTTACGTTTCTATTTGAATTTTGAATCGTCGGCATGAGATGTCTACGAGCATCTCACTGTTGCCTTTATGGAATGATAGACGCCTCATATTTTGACTCCTCTGGACATCTCCTTCATTTGCACATGTCCCCGTTACGGAACTTAGCCAAACAAAAAGTCAATTCACTTCGACCAGTGTGATCGAGAATACAGGCCCAAAAAGGGATTCTTTCGAGCATTTGCTAAAGTGACTAGACTCGGCGAACTTCGTAAGACAACAGTCAGGCATATGTTTCCCAGCTAGCCGCTCGTTCTGATGAGCGAGAGATGGCGGTTGCGACAGCTCGGATTGGTTATTAGATTGCAGCAGGAAATACTCGCAAGGCAGGCTGACTTCGTAGAGTCATTAAGGACTGATCGAGAGCCAAGCGGCTTGAGTATACTTGGAATTGTCGTTGAAATCGAGACGTGTAGCTTGCTCGACTGGCGGAGGATCGAGCCAAGAGTGCAAGCTGCCTGAAACCGTTACCTCGCAGTAACAAAGAAATAGCAGGCACAGAAAGTCGATCGATGAATTAGTAGTTGAATGGATCGACGAATGGACGGATAGGCGGATTTACAGGCGGGTGGATGGACGGACAGACTGATGAAAGAATAATTGAATGAAAGGATTTATGACCGCTTAGCCAGGCGGACGGAATTTCTATCTTAATTCAATCTATTCTGTGTGTGAATATGTATTCAAGTATGAAAAATGTCGATGGAAATCCTTACTTCACCAACGCGTTTCAATATTTTCGCGACTAACAGGAACAATGTGGTTCTGCTATCTCATGATATAGATGATTTTTAGCTATGGTCCATATTTTTGCCGCCTCATCTGCACTAATTCGTCACCCGTAACGGGGGAAGACGGCTGATTCGTTGAAATCTGTTATGAATTTTCAAATGGTCGACTTAAATAATAAGGTGATACTGAAATGACGCTGAAAGGCTGACAAGAAACAGCCCGTCGGAAGACCTCCAGAATGAAGACAAGATGAGTTCAAGAAACGTGTTGGAACAAAGTATATACGAATCGTATGAGACAGAATTTTGTGGCAGTATCTTGAAGAGGTACTCATACTCACCCGCAGTGATTCGTCACGGCTGATGATGACGATGATTCGATTGCTGACTTGACAATTCATGTCTTGCAAAGCTGAGGTCTGTTCAGTGAGCAATCACCTATCGCCTTACTTGACGCCCGTGTCGTGTAGGGAAACGTTTTACGCCATCTAGCCTCTGTTACAAAGGAGTGCATTAATTTGGATAGGAGCCAAGGTGCGTGTTTCTGACGGCGGTGGCGTTGACCTGACCGGCACAGTTTTCATGAGCGAAACTGATGTCGATGCAGCAGACGCCGAAACCTGTTACGGTAAGTCCCGTTCCCCCTTTGTTGTGCTTGTTGCAGGGACTGCATGCGCGTGATATCCGCTAAAAACCGAAAGTCGGTCAGGGTGCGTCGACGGCGCGGATCGGTCGGTCGGTTGGTGGTTGCACCGAGCCTCGGCGGCTCCTGCCCTCCGGCCTCATCCCCAGTTGCCGACTCCGGCCGGCGCTACGATGCGAAACAAACGGCCATCGATGTGACAGAGCCAGTCGGTCGGTTGGCCGATCGGCCGGCCGGCTCTACATGGAACAAGAACGACTTGGCTGACTTGCCCATATCGGCGGCGAAGGTCGTCCACCCTTTCCGATCGAGGCTGCCAGTTTCAAGGCCTCTCAGCCGCGAGTGAGCTGGAGTCGGTTTGTCTGCGCCTGCGACGTCGTCGAACAGGGAACGGGAACGGCGCCTGCGGCCGACCGGTCGACCGGTCGACGACTCAATGGCACAAAGTTTTGTTCCCTGTCGTCGTCGTATCTGACCGCTTCCGGTTCTTGAGGTCCACCTGGTTCGGCGTTCCGTGTTCGGTGTTCCACTTTATGAGGTGTTCGGTACTTCGACGGCAGTGAAAGCATCCTCGTCGGCAGCGCTTCTAAGTCTGGCCTCGTTGCAAGCTAGCTCACTGCTGCCTTCTCCTGCATCGTCCTTGTTTGAGTTGGGCACCGAGTCAATGAGTGTCAATGCGCACCTCAAAGATGTACAAGACGTGATCACACTGGAAAACGCGTCGTTTTTAACAGATGTCATTTCTTTCAAATTATACGTCGCAGCCGATATAGTTGCGGAACGTTTAGTCCGTTCAGGTTCAATCAGCAGTTCTCTTGTCTTAGTAAATGACGCGACGCGTTTTCTCGGTAAAACTTCGAGGGGAACGAGGCACTGACCTTAAATCAGATTTTGTAAATATTTTATTAAAATAAGTAGATATTTTTCGTTTATTTTGATAATTTAAAATGGTTTGACGACCGCGCCGCCACTGTTAGTACAGAGCAAAATTCGAAGCGTTTATGCATCTCATGGCGGTGTACCTCCTACAATACAGTCCAGCTTGATGAGATTGTCAGTGGTCATCCCCACCCATCTGGATCATCATCATCAACCTTTACCGATCTCCTGCTGGATAAAGCTTCTTCAAGACTTCGCCACTAACTTTTGTTTTCTGTGATTTGTATCCATCTTGATCCGGCGAACTTCTTTAGTTCATCCTGCCATCAATCTGGCGGTTTTCCTACGGATCGTCTACTCTCTCCTTGAATTCATTCTAGTATCTCCCT